TCCTCCCCCTCCTCTTCTTCCTCCTCCTCCTTCTCCTCCTCCTCCTCCTCCTCCTCCCCCCCCCAGGGGAGAGGGGAGAGAGGTGAGTTCTGCGGGGCAGCGGCCCCGCGCGGCTCGCGCGGACGCCGTGGGCCGCCTTGGGCCGTGGGCCCGAACTCGGGCCGAGGCGCGTCGTCGCGGCGCCTCTCTCCTGCCTGCCCCTCCCTCGCCTCCCCCCCCCCAGTTGGCCCTCTTCTCCCATTTCCTCCCTGCCTCGTCCCCCCCCCCCAGTCAGTCCCTCTCGCCGTCATGCCCCGTTATCCTCTTCCTCCTGAGCCTCTGGAACTCCCAAGTCGAAGTGAAGTGAGTAAGGTGCGTTCCGCGTTGCTTCTGGGGAGCGAACGGTCGGGGGCACGTTCGAGACAATTGCATGGTGTTGCGTGCGCGTGCATGCTCGCCCACATGATTTCCAGGCCCATTTCTTAAACTTTCCAGGGGGGTTGGCAACCCCCCACTGCCGCCCTCCAGCATAACCGATGCATTGTCGGTGACCCCCCTCTGGCGTTGTCGGTGGTGCTGCGTCGACCCCCCCCCCGCGGCCCTTTCGTCGTTGTCGGCGTCCCCTTCGGCCATCGCGGGTTGGCGGCCTGCGACCCCCCCCGCCGTGGTCGGAGAGGGTCCCGGGGAGCATGTGTGATCGTATTGTATCTACAGCGAGGTCACAGCAGATTTTCTAGCATCAGCCTTAGACGAACTCGTCTTCGCAGGCGGCCATGCATCCGTTCCTGTTCCATTGGGCCCACCAATGACGGCCCCAGTGGGAACTTGCGCGTGCTGCGCCCGGTTGCGGTCGCGTGGGCCCAGCCTTCGCGCACTTCGTGTGCTCCGTGGGGAGCGCCCCGGTGCTGCCCCAGTGGGGAGCTAGCGCGCAACTTGCGCCCCCTTCGTCGCCCGAGCCGAACGCGCTCCCCGCCCTGTCTCCTCCCCGCTGCCACCCCGCGCAGTCCGCTGCTTCCTCGATGGGGCCCAGCGGACACAAGCAGGCATTCACATATCCTGTGATGTCGTAGGCTGGTTTTCGTCGTATGAGTTTCTGTTGAGCTAGCGAGCCGATGGCAAGCTTCCTCGAGCGAACCTGAGTTCTTCAGCGTTTGCCTCAGCGAGCCCTGCCACGTTCCAGACAGTAGCATGAGTGCGTAGCGCCATCCTTTTCGCAAGGACGCATCAACTCAGCCCACAACAAAGTATCAGCCGTCCGTCCCTCGGACGCACGATCAACGTTTTCGGTGACGGTCCGTTTTTTCCGATATCCTATGATGCTACAACAAGGAAGACGTTTCCCGCCATCTGGTAATTATCGCCGAGCGCGGACGAAACATCAACATATCATCTGACATTTCGTTCCCCAAGCATCTGCAAGAACACGCTTCCCCCGCAGGTCATGATGTAAGGTGGTTCGCCGTCTGAGCATTGAGCTGCAGGCCATGTTTCACGTCGGCGTCAGCAAGCTCGATCTGGAATTCGTTGGCCGTGGAATTGCCCCGGCACCAACCAGCGGCTCACTGAACTTTTCAGGAAGTGGGTTCCTTTCCTCTTCCTCTCTCCTCCCCTCGGGCCTCCTCCCCTCGGGCCTCTTTCCTCTTCCTTTCCTCTTCCTCTTCCTCTTCCTCTTTCCTATTTCCTATTTCCTTCCTCCCCCGTGGGCCGAAGACACGGCTTCACCGTCGTCAAATGTCAACCTGAGGCTTGAGCCGGATCTGCTACGGGCGGGGTTCTTCGGGGACTTAGGGGAGAGATGCGGAAGTCGGAGGAGGGCCGGGTGAGGCAGCGGCGAGTCGCCCGCCCAGCCAAAGTGGGTCCCCAGACACCTGCACCTGGGGTCCATCCTGAGTCATCTTTCGACCCGCATCTAGCCGTCCACGACGACGAGAGGCTCCCAGGAGGCCCAGATAGGACGAAAAACGCTATGGGGGGCCGCCGTTCTCTCGATTGGCCCTCCTCTGGCAGGGTCGCTCTGCACGTCACGAGACTACATGTAGTGCTCGTGCCAGCGCGGTGATCCGCGCTGTCCCCCAGTGCCGAAGCTGCCCCCGCGGCTTCTGTTGCTCGAGCTGTGGGCCGTTCTCTGCAGCAGACGCCGCCAGGCCAAGCCAATGGTTCGTTGGAGGCGCCTTGCCGCGGGGTCTAGGGCAACACGCCTTCAGCCGAAGGACAAACAACGTCATACACATACGCTGTCAGTCGGCGGCGAGCGAGGGGGGGAAACGAGAAGGAGAAGGCCTTCTGAGAAGGCCTTCTCCTTCTCGCTTCCCCCCCTCGCTCACCGCCGACAGAGGTCCGCGCTGATTTCTTCGATCGGCGCTGGGGCATCCCTAGCGGCGCCTCTGGCGCCGCCCCTGGCGCGCTCCGCGCTCGAGGGAGCGGTGTCCAGCGCCGCTCCAAGAAATCCGTGCGGACTTCTCGAAGCTCATGCTTATGCAGTTTTTTGTTCTTCCGTTCAGACCTTGCCGTCGGGGTTGTGATGCAGAACCTCTGCTGGACTCAGGAGGCTGCCACAGTTCCGCATGGTCACGAGGACGACTACGAGATTGTCAGGCCGATCGGCAGTGGCTCCTTCGGACAGGTGTTCCTGGTACTGCACAGATGGGAGCAGCGGCAGTACGTGATGAAGAACATCGAGTTGAAGGACGGGCGACCAGACTCGTCTCTTGCCCCCTTGTCTCCCCGGCCCGCTGCGGGCAACGAAGCAGCATGTCGTTCATTCGCAGGGGTCTTTTGATTTGGCTCAAGTCTAAGGCAGTGCGCACACTCTCCCGAACCTGCGCGCCTGATGGGAACCGTATGTTCCAGTATTGTTCCGTTTTACTTTAGTGATTTGCATGGTCATAGCTCAGGTCGCATTGGCATGGTATGTTTTTCTGGACCTTGGTGGCGGAAGGAGGGTTGTTTGAATTCACGGGGCTCCTCGGCTCTCTCCGTAGACGTATCATTTTGCGCATGCCTTCATTGAGGAGGAGGAGGAGGACGACGACGACGACGACGAGGAGGAGGATGAGAAGGGATTTAGGGGAGGGAGGAAGAGGACGAGACAGATATAGCCTGCTCGCCTGCCTCTACACTCAGGTGGGCGACGCAGAGACACGGGGTCGTCTGCGCCGACGCTGGCGAGCCAGCTTCGCGCGTAAGCTCGCGCGCAACCGCCCTCGTCTCCAATCTGGCGTGCCGCGCTGGCGACCCGCGGAAGCCGCCGCGTAAGGTCGCTACATCATCTCGCGTAAGACCCGTTGGTTGTCGTCGGTCAGGTGTGCACCTCTCCGTGTGCCTTGTCTTTTCCCTGCATGGTCCCAGCGCCCCTGCCTGCCCCTTGGAGAGTGTATGTTTTTTATTACCCTCTGGGTAACGCGCGTTATGCCCCCTCCCCTTCGCCCCCCTTCCCCCCTCTTTGCTTCGGGAGTAAATCATGAGAGCCTGGTTTGTATACCCTCGTAATTCCGTCTTGAGCGTCGATTAGCGTCTGGGAGTCGCTGAGATCGCGCCGATTTAGCGTCGGCTTGCGTCGGTTAGCGTCTATTAGCGTCGACTAGCGTCGACAAGCGTCGATTCGCAAGAGCCGACAAGATGGTATGGGAGGCTCCCGTGAGTTGCCACCGAACTGTAACGTAACGCTCCCCGCCTCAGTGCGTCCCCAGCACTGCCGCAGTGCGTCCGGCACCACAGTCTCGGGCGGGGGGGGGGTTACGTTATCCCCCTCCCCCGCCCCCTCCTCCCCCTTCCCAATAAGGCCCATTATCGCCGAGAGTAGACAAACACTCTCTTTCTGGTTCGGGGTCATTCTGAAGAACGCCTCGAGTGGGATTCGTCCAGCCCCAAGTCGACTTGGATTCTACTCATTGGGGCACACGCTCCAGCACCCAGCGTGCCAGAACCATCCACGGGGCTGCCCTGGCCCGAAACGTCCCTGCGACGGGCCCAGCTCTCTTTCTCACGAGTGTGTCGGGAAATGTTGGCCCGCGTGTGCTTCAAGAGACTGCCAACCAAGGGGAGGACGAGCAGGCGGACCCTGAGATCCGACGTCGCGAAAGAAATCAGCATCGCGAGAAATCATGAGACCCTACCTTTCTGCTGCATCTTTCGAGCCGGATCGGTCTATGCTGGTCTTGAGGCCCGAAACCAGGCGACAACGCTAAGTGTGAAATAATTGCGACGCCCAGATCTCAGATGAGGAGGGGAAATAGGAAGCGGATGAGGAGCACCAGCAAGTTGAGGGGGAGGAGCGGGGAGGGGCGGAGGGGTTTATCTGCTCAGAGCCTCAGAGGACACAACGAAGGAGGGGAGCGAGGCGACGGAGCTCGAGGTGCAACTGCTCAGAGGCATCCAGCACCCCAACATCGTCGCCTACCAGGCCTCCCCTCCTTTCTCGGGAGAAGCAGGCAAGAAAATGAGAAGACAGGTTCCTCTTCCCCCTTCTCGTCAATGCCGCTGTCTCCGCCCCTTATCTTATGAAACTCGCTTGCACCAGCACGTGGGCCGATCTAGAGGACGATGTTGTAGATTTCGCTATTTCCCAGACGAATTCCGGTAGTGCTGTATAGTCTCTTTCTGGGTGCCTCGGCCCCACCCTGCAGCGCCCCCGCGGCGTTCCAAGCAGGTCGCAGTTCGCAGTTCGCAGTTCACCTCACCTCTCCTCTCCTCTCCTCTCTGTCTCTCTTTCTTCATATGTTTGGCTGTTCTCTCTCTTTCTCTCTCTCCCCCTCTGTCTCCCTCTGTATCCATCTGACCACCTCTGTCCCTCTGTCTCCCTCTCTCTCTCTGTATTTCTCTCTGTCTCCCTCCCTCTCCCTCCATCCCCTCCTCTCTCTGTCTCTGTCTCCCCCTCCTTTCCGTCTCCCTATCATCTCTCCCTATTATCTTTCCATGTCTCTCCTCCTATCTATCTATCTCTTTCTCCCCCTCTCTCCCTCTTTCTCTTTCTCTCTCTCTCTCACTCCCTCCCTCTCCCATGCCTGTTCCTCTCTCCCTCTTTCTCTTTCTTTTTTTCTTTCTCTCTCTCTCTATCACTCCCTCCCTCTCCCATGCCTGTTCCTCCTTCCCTTCCGCTCACGCTGGCACACCTCCATCATTCCTCTCTCCGCTCCTCCTCTCCCCGTCTCTCCCCCCCATCCTCTCCTCTCCCCGCTGCCTCAGGACTCTTTTGTCAACAGCCTGGGACACCTGTGCATCCTCATGGAGTACTGCGAGCACGGGGACATCCACTCCTACCTGCAGGCGGCGAAGAAGGCCCAGAAGGTGCCCGACGAGCAGCACCTCTTGGAATGGTTCGTGCAGATCACCCTGGCGCTGCACGCTCTGCACACAAAGAAGATCCTGCACCGGGACCTGAAGACGCAGAACATATTCCTCACCGGTTACCGGAGAGAAAACATCTTTGCTCTGAAGCTGGGCGACTTCGGGATCGCCAAGGTGCTCGACTCCACAACAGACCTTGCGAAAACGCAGATTGGCACGCCGTTCTACATGTCGCCCGAGCTCATCAACAACAAGCCTTACAGCTACAAGAGTGATATTTGGGCGCTTGGCTGCGTTCTCTATGAGATCGTGAACGGGCAGCGGGCATTCGATGCCCAGAGCCTTAATGGCCTGGCATTGAAGATCATCAAAGGTAACTATACCCCCATAACTGCGTCCTGCAGCCCTGCTACGAGATCGTTGATCAAGTCGACGCTGGGCACGAAAGCCACCCACAGGCCGACGCTGAAGGAGAAGGGACGGCGTGCAATCGTGGGGAAAGGAGGGGGGAAGACAGGATACGGAGGAGGCGATGATGGGAGGGGCGGGATGAAATACGATGGGAGGGAAGTAGGAGGGTACACGGGGAGGATTATTTTGACGCTTCGCCTACGTATCTCCACAAGCCCATCCAGAAACGATCCCTAGGCGAGTTGCATTGACCACGGAAGCGTTTCAGCATGTAGTCCATGAGTGAACCATATCCAGGTGTTTGCGGCAATTCCGCCACCTTGCCAGCGAAGCATTCTGTGGGGCGAACCTTCGGGCACCGCCCGGAAGGCCGTAACATGTGGCTCTTCTTGTCTCCAGCTTTTTGAGGAGGTTTCATTTGGCTTATTGAATCGCTTCGCTCATTCCGCCGGCCCATGATGAGGCACCGAGGTCGATTGGGCGAGAGGTCGTCGGCAGTGCGGAGCTGCAGGGGTCGGCGCATGTTTTTTTTCTGAGGCGTTGCGTTCGGGATGGTGGTGTTGCAGCTGCCCCCGCGAAACAGCTTCGCGTCGACCTTCTGAGGTGTCGGGGGAATCGTTGTTTCCACGGGGCTTCTAGGTTGTGCCGCTCTGGGGTGTCCCTGGCGCCTTTGTGGGGGCTTGTTGCTCATGGACGCTCATGCGGGGGCCATGAACACGGTGTAACTGTTGCGACAGGTATGCCCCTCGACGTGAGAGGGAAAAGAGAGAAAGAGAGAGAGAGAGAGAGTGTGCGTGGGCTTGGAAGGAAGGGAGCAACAGGGGGTGGTCACAGTGCAGAGGGGAGACAGTGCATTGGCGAGAAAAGGAGGGGGAAAGCGGAGCAGGAGGAGGAGGATACGAAAAAGGAGGAGGCGGGGGAGGGAGTGTGCAGCTTCAGTGGGGGAAGGGGGAGGAGGCAAATGTACGAGGGGGGTGAAGCGGAGAGAGGAGCCAGAGGGGAGTGATGGAGAAGCAGGGGGGCGCAAGTAAGCGACTTCGCCGAGAGCGGCTCCCCTCTGCTTCGCAAGTAAGCAGAGGTGAGCGCGGCTGGCCTCTTGGGGCTCCGTTTTGGAGCCTTTTGGGGTCTCTTTCGCGCCTCTTGGCGCCTCTTGGGGCCTCTTGGGGGCCTCTTGGGGCGTCCTGGAAGCCTCTTGGAGCTGTGGTAGATTGGTGCAAGCGAGTGGTAGATTGGGACGGTCATATCAAGCGGGCCCATTGCCAGCAGCAGTGGAGCACGAGACTGGTGCTCTGGCACGACGGCCACTGGCCCCAAGACCGCCGGGACCGACACCACCGGGGGCGCCCTCGCACGCGCGTCTGCCTGGGGCAACCAGCCGCCCGGTGGGACGAGGGCGTGGCGCTGGCCACCGCGAAACTCCAGCTCAGAGTCCCGGTTGTTGTTGTTGTTCGACTCTTCCCTTCTTCCTTGTCTTTCCCCCCCTCTTCCTCCTCCCTTCCCTCCTCTTGGACGTGCCAGTGATGTACGCAGCGTTCAACGTTTTCAGCGCAGGCTGCAGGTCTGGGGACGTCAGTCACAGAGCCACAGCTGCCGCCATCAGCTGCCCAATCAATCAATCTTGGAGCGGAAGGCTCGGCTTTTCGGTTCGTGGTCTCCATCTTGGGCCCCTCTTGGGGCCCTCTTGGGCGCCTTTTAGGCTGTCTTGGGGCCCTCTTGGGCGGTCTTGGGGCTCTCTTGGGGGCCTCTTGGGCCGTTTTGGGGTGGTCTTGGGGGCCTCTTGGGCCGTCTTGGAGCGTCGGAAAGGCGAAAAGGCGAGGAAGCCAAAAACCTTCACAAACCTAAGGGAAATCATTGATGTTTGCCCCTTGGGGCTCTCTTGGGAAGGGTCTGGGCTCTTTTGGGACGTTTTGGAGGCCTCTTGGGCCGTCTTGACGCCGTGTTGGGCGTTTTGGGCCGATCGTTCGGTGATTCGGGGCCCTCTTGGACCGTCTTGGGGGCCTCTTTTGGCCCTCTTGGAGCGCTCTGGGGGGCGTGGAAGGCGGCACCCAGGAGGGAAACCATCTCTGAGTAATAGTTCCCGGGCTTCGGTCGGGGTACTTTTCGCCGGGGGACCCCCAGGGGCCGCCCCGCGCGCGCGAACTAGAACTATTGTTAACCAGTTACCGGAGATCTTAGCACGCCTCTGGCCCGTTGGGCCGGCGAATTTGCCCCCCGTTGGGGCCACGATCCCTGCGAGGGGTAAAAAATGAGCCTCCCAGGGACCGGCAAAGGACGCCCCGGCGACCCCCTCTGGTGTTCCTCTGGACTTTCTAGACTTACTTGGAAGAAAAAGGGTTTCGTGTTTTTTTTTCGTTCCTCAGGTCAGGCCGAATACTGCATCAGCTTCCCTTCGCCTCCCTCCTCCATCTCTGGAGCTGCGCTGGAAGACAAAGGCCTCTGCGCTGCTGGACCCCTGCGGATCCAGCGGAGCAGCCTCCTGCGCCGGTCTAGGAGGAGGAGGAGGAGGAGGAGGAGGAGGAGGAGGAGGAGGGGTAGCGTGCGCGGTGTCTTGTTGCCGGGCGTGCCAGCTGTCGCCGCTGCGCTGCGCTGCGCCGTTGAGGGGAGGGGGGACCCCGCTGGAGTGTGTGTGTGTGTGTGTGTTTGTGTGTGTGTGTGCCGCACGCGGGCCCGCACGGGATTCCGCAGCCCCTCGGTGTGTGTTGCACGGCGTGGCAGTCTATAGGCTTCCCGGATGGGGTTGGAGCAATCATGATGGGCCAATGTTTCCACCACAGCTACATCATGGGTTGGGCAAGTATGACGGGGGAAAAGGGAGGATGAGGAGATCCTCCTCGTCGTCGTCCTCCTCCTCCTCCTCCTCCTCCTCCACCTCCTCCTCCTCCTCCTCCCTCTCCTACCTATGGCAGTGCCGAACCCATCAAATTAGATGTTGTCGGAGGGTCGCGCCGCATCGCCGATGCATCGGCGAGGTGGCTCGATGTGGGGACCGAGTTTTCCCACGCCACCGTCTCCGATGTGCCGCCGACGGCGCCGATGCATCGTTGATGCATCGTCGATGCATCGCTGATGTATTGGCGATGCGGCGCAATCTTCCGACCCCGTCTACTCTGACACCATCTAAGAGGCCTCTGGACACTGTCCTCACTCGCCTGCGACTCTGGGGGTTCAGCGGAGTGGCGTTGCGTCCTGCGCCACCCTAGACGGGACCCCCGCTGCTCTTCCCGTTGTTGCCGGGCGCTGAAGGTTCGTCTAGTCGTACTGCGCCATCGGGGGGCCAACGGGACGCGTCTGATCGTTGGCACGTGGACCACGTGATGCGTCGCCCTTGAGGTGTTACGAGACGTGCGCTCGTCGTTCGTGGGCTATGGCCCGTTGGGATTTCAACCGATGAATGCCGTACGTAGACTCAGTGCGACTTCGTCCGCCTGTGTGTTTTTGAGTGGCGCAAGTGTCCCCAACATCTTGCGACCCTGCGGGGCCATGCGCAGGGGCGTCCTACGCAAACGAAGTCAGATTTGGCCCCCAGCGGGTGCTGCCAGACGCGCAACGACCTCCACTGCTCTGCATCATGTGTGGGGGGTCCACGGAAGGGGTCTCCTACGCTCGGCGGCGAGCGAGGGGGGGAAGCGCGAAGGAGAAGGCCCTCTCAGAAGGCGGTGGGGCGTCTCAGGAGGCCTCCGGCTTTCCGAGGGGTCTTGGCTGTGTCTTCGGGAAGGCTTAGCAGACCTGTCAGAAGGCCGTGGGGTTTCGGATACCTCTCAGAGGGCCCGCCCCTTTCTCGCCCCCCCCCCCTCGCTCGCCGCCGACACACGGCGGGTGCTGGGATCCCCCCCCCCCTCTCTCCCCGTCGGTCTTGCCAGTCGCGCAGCCGTCGCCGATTTCCTGTCCCCCCCCCCCGGGGCGGGCACCGGGCGGCGGGTGGGGAGCCGTGCCCCTCCGCAGGCCAGGGGCCGCAGACCCCCCCGGGTCTGTGGGCACGAGTGCGGCCGCCCCCTCCCTCCGCGCCGCCGGGGCCCTGGACGCGCGTGTGGGGGGGGTCCACGCGGGGCGTCGGCCTCCTGCCCCCGGGGGGGTGCCCGACGCGAGCAGGCCCTCCCTCTCGGAGGAGCGGGTCCATACTCAGGCGATCGCATGCATGGAGCAAAGGGGGCGTGGATTAGCGACGGGTCCCGTTTCCATAGGCGATCGCAGATCTCCGCCGCCGAGCGAGGCGGCACCGGCCGCTTTTTGGGGGAGGCACCTCCCCCGCTCCATGGATTTGGCGACCGCGCGCCAAATCAATGGATCGCTAATCCATGTTTGCGCGCCCCCGACATACGGAGTGCTCGGTCTCCGTATGGATATTACTCCGTCCCTCCTGGGCCGTAACCATTTTGGCTCAAGCCTGTTTATTTTCAAGACGGCACGCATTTCAGCCGCTTCTTGATGCGTCCAACATTTGCGTGACTGGTTAATTCTGGCTCGCGACATTTGTCGTGGGAAGCTCGGTGAGAATGGACGCCAAGCGAACTTTGCCACTATTAGTTGTATACGTCTTCATATGGTATGCATCGAATGTGAGGTACAATATTGTAAACAAAATGCTGTTGAAATCGTTGCATGCGACCGTGATCATTGCTTGGGCCCAGTTAGCTTTCGGAGTGGTGGTTGCAGTATGTCTCTGGAGGTGCGGCGTTCTTCCAACCCCGTCCGTGTCCCGAGGTGATATTCTAGCACTGGTGCCGGCAAGCATGGCTTTCGCAGCAGGCCAAATAACAACCCAGGCCGCTCTTACACTTGGACATGTATCGCTTACACACGTGGTCAAATCCGTCGAGCCTGTCGTCAATGCTCTTTTTTCAGCACTGTTCTTGGGGGAATGCTTGAATCCTTTAACATATCTGACACTCGTCCCAATTGTTCTTGGTGTGTGTTTGACAGCGAACTCATGGGGGTTCGATGTATCGACCTTGGCCTGCGCCATGGCCTCGAACGTATGCTTCGCTTTGAGGAATGTACTTGCTTCAAAGTATGGCCGCATTGGGGACTTGGGTGAAGATCCAACAGTTAGAAAAACAAATCAACTGTTCCT